CTTCCATGGATCTTCTTCATTAAAATAGCTCGCATAGTTTTCGTCTCTTTACAAAACAACAAATGTTTTTTTAAACTTCATTGTAGCTTGTAACCTCATGTACGTGGAATTCCATCTAATTATGACGTCCAAACACAACAAAGATCGAGACTCAATATTTGTTGCCTTGTAACTCTCTTTAAACCATTTTACTCATTCCGGGGAAGATCTAGCAAACCTCATTGCATTACGAATAGATGAAATAGCATGACTTATTTCTTTCAAGCCATCACATACAATAAGATTGAGTATATGAGCAAAACACCTCATATGGAGCATATATCTACTCAGTACTATATCGTTTTTTTTTCTCCTTAAACAAATTTTCAATCTCAATAATGCTACATCAATAGAGTAGGCATTATCAATAGTCACATAAAAATCTAAGGGGGTGTTCTCTTTGTATTTCAGTTTTGTGTTTTGAGTTTTGAATTCATTTTGAGTTTTGTGTTTTGAGTGTTTGTTTTGAAATTGTTGAAAATGCGTTCTTTTTGTTAGTTTCTCAAAACAAAAAAAAATGAATTTTTTTTTTTGAAATTTTGAGAATCACCACAACACCACCTCAAAACACCAAAAAAAAAAAAATTAATTATTTTTAATTTTTTTTTTAAATTTTGAGAATCATCACACTACCTCCTCAAAAAATAATAACAATAATAAATAAATAAATAAAAGGTATTTCCCGCGTTTTCAATTTTTTTAAGTTTTACACTGAAAACGCCAAAAATGACAAAACAGTAGTTTTGTGTTTTTTTCACAAATTTTTTTTTCGTTTTCGAAAATTCGTTTTCAAAAACGGGAAAGAGAACACGTTTTCACCGTTTTGAAAAATCGAAAACAGAAAACGGCCCGAAAACGGTAAAGAGAACAGGGCCTTATTGATTCCCCAATTTTTAAGACAAGAAATCAATTCTTTTCCCACCATATATCCCTTATGGCTTGGGACTTGAATGAAACTTGTAATCCCTTTTTGAAGTCTCCAATCATTATTAATCCAACGAGCAGTTAAACACAAACAACTAACATTTTGTATCAACGTCCAACTAATAATCAAACAAACTCTATGTTGACCTAACTCTTTTTTTCAATTTCTTCTTCTCATTTAGGAACAAATCATATATATCCCTTTCCACTATCATGCTTGAAGGAATACAAATTTTGGGGAAAAAAACATTTTGTATAACACTGAAAATCTTTATCTTCCACATGTCGAAAAGGTAACTCAGACAATATAAAATACGTTGTAATCTATTTATAACCTCTTTCTAAACAAACTTAACAAGTTCTTCACGGCTACCAATATCCTTAGAAAGCTCGCTAGTTTTATACATACTATAGCCAATCAGTCTCTTTTGGTTTTTGTCTTGAACGCTACCCTATAAGGATATTTCTTGCCCAATTGCATGGGATGATTAGACAATGTACTAGTTCTATAATTTTTAGCATGATGCTTATATGCTTGTCCACAATAATTATATTCTGCCTTCTTATCTTCGCTAATTTTAAAATGACCACACACCTCAGAATTTTGTTACCATTCTTGCCTTTTCCACCCATTTTCATATCTTCAGGGTTATCCTTTATTGGAATTACATCATTGGCTTTTTCTAGAATTGGATCCATACTTGTAAAAAAAATAGAAACCTTTTAGAAATGAATACAATTAACCAACAAGCTAGCCCCAATCAAAAAATTATGTAGACCAGTCTTCTTCGAAGACAAAAAAAATATACAACTATATATATACAAAACCTTAAAAGCAGATTAGCTGTAGGTGTGAAACTAATTAACTTGTAGGTTAATAAATGGTTAGCACTAAACAATCTCAGTGATAATATCAAGTATGTTACTCCTCATGTATAAAGCTCCTAGTGAATGCCACATGGAGGTACTACATGCACACATTTGATAGCCAACCAAGTTAAAATAAAGAAAAGGCAAGAGGTGCTCTATAGTGGAAGCACTTTTCCCAGCCAGGGTTCTTTTGCCGAGGCACTTCTTCCTAAAGTTGAACCTCTTCACATCCAATGCGTTCTCTCGTGAAGCTAAAGTGTTCACTAAATTTAAGGTAGGTCTAATAAGTATCCTTAGGAATGATTGATGTAACGTTTATATTAATGAGTGTCAAACATATCAGCCTAGGAGTGTAGAGGTTGACCTTTTGTCAAAGTAATTGTCAATGTAACTAATGTATGATAGAGTAATGTAAGACTTCGGTTAATTAGATGGAGCCACGTAGATCTGATCTTATAGTGACCATGTTGGCCTAAATTTTATAAATAACAATTCTTTAACATTGTAAAGGATGGAAAAAAATATATACTAAACTTGATACGCTCGAATTCATAACTTTCTTGCTCGTCCATTAGGGTGGAGTTTGGATTCATTCTACTTTGGTATTATCCACGCTCGATCTTTGTTGAACAGTCATCATTGATCGCATTGTCGGTGCCTGAACATTTTCGTCTTGTGTCGTAGAGCATCTCTTATGTCCATTGCTACCACAATCCTTCGATTGAATTTTTAGTCCAAACGTGTCAAAATTTGCTCATGCGGATGCGAGTGAGCCAAAATCTATTGGTACATTTTTTGGGATCAACAAATTGGTGCTTTCTATAGAAAACTTACAGTTAATCGCGAAAGTCCTGTGGAGGAAAGTCAACAATCTTTGTGTGAGGGGATTTCTTGCCTATGAAGAAAAATGAGGCATTCTTGAAAAAAGAATCACCAAAAGGAACCCTCAATTAACATTCACATATCTTGAAAAATGAAGTATTGGTTAGCTTTGAAGCAACATGATACACAATCATGAATATTAGCAATGAGGAATCAGCACCTCAAAGAGCTAAGGAATACACTGAATAAGGGGAACCCTCATGTACTGTCCCGGTATCTCACTATAGATTTCACCAGCCGTACAGGCAAGATAGACCAAGGAGAAGATCTAGAGTAGCTACTAGACTCATCAGGAAAGTGGCCGCCATGGCCTAAAATATGAGAAACATAACTCAATAGAACCTCTCTATGTAGGAGCTGTTCAGGAACATGCAAGCCTAGGAAGGGTACCCAATTTTCCCATATGTAGTTCAGGAGTGCATATTCTCCATGGTGAGGACGAGGTACAAAGCCAAATGACAGGGTATTAACAATATCCCAGAGAGGAAGCTTCTTAAGATAGGGAAGTTGAGGTGGAAGCGTCCACTAATTATGTCACTGATCAACCTCACGAGGTCCCTTTAATTTTTCTCAAACTACGATCCGGAGAACTCACCCAGGAGGTCTACAAACATCTTCGATAGGTTGAGCCTAGGACAACCTAGGAATAGGCAGGCTCAATCTTCTTCACCTAGAAATAGGCAACAAGCAGAGCCTCAATTTGAAAGGCAAATTGAGCCTATTTTTTATAACATCAATCCTTCACCTAGAAATAAGCGTGAAAGGGGAGCAGAACAAGTAAAGAGTCGAGCAGGACCATTTCAACCACCTCGTGAAGCCAAAGTCAAAGAAGATGAGAATTTTGACAAGCTGCAAAGGTCCTGCGACCTTGCTGATGATGATGACAATCTGCCACTTTCGCAAGAAATTAGGAATGTCCATGTCCTCCACCACTTCACACTTTCAAAAATTCCAATGTATGATGTGAGAGGCGATCCTGTAAAGCACCTCAACGACTTCAAAACTCATGTGAGCTTAAGAAGAGCCATGTCCACAATGAAGTATAGAGCCTTCCACTTAACTTTGAGTGGAGCGGTTGAAGTATGGTACACCAGGCTTTCAAAAGGAAACATTCAAAGCTGACTAGATTTTAAGAAGGTTTTCCTTAAATGCTTTGCCACAAGTAAAGAAGACGAAGGACCTATACAACACCTTCAAGACATGGGCAACAACAAGGGAAATTATTGAAAAATTTCTTGTCCTGTTCCACTGATAATATGACCTATTGCATGCAATTCAAAGATAGAAAGGCATTAACAGCTTAAAGGGGATGATTGAATATGAATTCCCTCTTTTGAAAGATGCATAGAATAAAGACCCTACTAGTTATAATGCCTTACTAAAATGATAAAACACGAGATCATCAATGAAGAATTGAGAAATCACCAGAATACGACAGATGGAGACCTCCTGCCTCCATAAATGTAAAGAGGAAGAGGTCCCATCTCTCACTTGATAGAAAACCAAGTCGAACAATCAGCTCCTCTCAACCTAAGACAAGCTTTGGCTGCAGTTTTGGCATACGAGGAAGTAAACCTTGGTGTTGAAACACACCAAAGCATGCCTTACCAATGATTCTTCCAAACCGTAAGAGGCATTGGACAATGTTCTGAACCTAGAAATAAGGATGAAGCTCCCCTCTATTGTACGTATCACCTATAGCCACAAAACTGTTGGATGTAAAAATATCTCTAAGCATCCAAATAATCAAAGAAGAAACAATCGCTCGCAAATGGATATAACTCCTAGACAAGATCGGGAACCTAGGAGCGATGAGGTGAGGCACCCCAATACGGAAGGTGTCCAGCGAAGACGAGAAAAATGATGGGAAAAGGCCTATAGAAGGTCGCAGGCAAAAATGGAACCCTTCAGCCAATGTTGAACTTGAACCCATTCAAAAAATTGACATCATTTTTAGAGGTCCCTGCGTCAGTCTAGAAATGTCTAAAGAAATTATACCGGAGAAGCCAAAAAGCTCCTAATGGCGAGCTCCATAGTCAGCAACAGCAAACCCTCTACTAAAAGAGGAGTTCAACCCATCACGTTCACTCAAGATGATGTTGTAGGTGTCCATTATCCGCATTATGATACTTTGGATGTGAGCTATGGTGGCTCGAAATGGTCTTAAAAGAATGTTGGTAAACAATGAAGGTTCAGTTAATATTATATTTGGAGCTATGATCTATATATGGAAATTGACCATGAGTTAACCCCAATGAACTTTCCTTCTTACGAATATACTTGCGATGGCTCATCCCACGAGGAATAATCACTCTAGCAATGGAGATGGGAATTGCACCTCTAACAGTTTACAATTTAATGGAATTTTTAGTGGTGGACCACCACTCCGCTTATCACAAAGTACTTGGAAGGCCCACTTTGAAGGAACTATGGGTTGTCATTTTCATCATTATCTATGCATGAAGTTTCCAATTGAAAATTGTATAGCCATGGTCAGGGATGACTAACGAAGTGCTACTCCAACTCCATTAGAAAAGCTGAACCAAGGGATGTCAATGTCATTTTGATGGACATTGATGAGATCAACAACCCTGAACAAGGGAACGCTGTTAAAATGCTAGATGCCTTTAAAGAAGATACCTATTCGAAGTACAATTAACCCTTGAAGAAGGGAGAGCTCCTGAGGAAGTTGATAATCTTGACGAAATGGATCCCCGTACAATTGATTGTGATCCAAATAGCCCTGGTATCAATCCAATGGTTAGTTGCTACTTGCTCTCGCTTAAAAATCGATCTAAATGTTAACCTTCATCGGTAAAAAAGGTGAGCATTTAACCCAGAAAGATATGAAGCCTTGAAAGATAGGTCGTCAAAATTATTGTTGGAGTCGTCGTTGGAGGTAGGGTGGGGTGAATGGAGTAATCATTGGATGTGGGGTGGGATGGAGAGGGAAAGAGAAGGGTTTGAAGTAATGAATGGGTGGGTTGGTATAAGTAGACTAATTATATTATATTATAATTAAATATTTAGTAAATTTAATTATCACCTGATTTTTGAAAGATTTTTATAAATTTATTAATTTTAAAACGTGATTTTTAAGTTGAGGACTTACGTGGTGTACCAAAAAACAAAATAACTGCTAAACCCTGATAAAAAATCAAGCGTATCCAACTATAACCTAGGCGGCATAAACTATAACCTAGGCGGCATACTCATAAAGCCAAGTGGAGCAAGTGGCTAAGGTTTTTGGGGGTGAAAAATTGTTATCGAATGGGGGCCTAGCTTAAGGACAAAATCACAAAATGATGTTCTATAATTGTTTTTACTACAAACTAAACTTATATGTCCTCACGTCTCCATAAATTACTGTTGTGTAGATAAATATTTACGAATTTGCCGAACTAGTGGATAAAGCTTTATCGTGTGGATTGACAACTTGTCAATAAATAATCTAATTATCAGAAATGAAAAACTAGAAGAAAGTATAATATGATATATTTACTCATATAACTGAAGAGATCACAAAATAAGGGTATGTTCGGTAATAATTATGAAAATTAATCTTTTGACCGTTATAGAGAAAAGTGGGACTCACTTGTGAGTGAAAAAGTAAAAAGTAACTCTTGGAATAGTGAAATAACGGTAAAAAATTAACGGGCATTTGATCTGCCCTTTTTTTTTTAGTTTCCAAAAATGCCCAATATGCATTTGCTCACTCGTTTTCGAAAATGCATTTTCGAAAACAAGAAAAAATTTATTACTAAAAACTCAAAACTATGTTTTTCCGTTTTCAATTAAAAAACTCAAAACGCTCAAAACATGCTGTTTTTCGATTTTTTTTTTCTTTTTTTAGGGATGCTCAACAATACTTTTAAAATAGTAAATTCACCAAGTTGAAAATATATATTATCTGGTAATATATTTGCATAAAATTATTATGCTTTACTAAATAATCAAATTAATTGAATAAATGTTATAAAACATTTCTAAAAATTTATTATTTATCATTTTATTTTTGCAACGAGAAAAAATAGTAAATTCACCAAGTTTAAAATATATATTATCTGGTAATATATTAGCATAAAATTATTTTGTTTTACTAAATGTTCAAATTAATTGAATAAATGTCATAAAACAATTTTTAAACATTTATTATTTTATTTTTGTAGCCAGAAAAAATAGTAAATTTACCAAGTTTAAAATATATATTATCTAGTAATATATTAGTATAAAATTATTATATTTTACTAAATAATCAAATTAATTGAATAAATGTCATAAAAAATTTCTAAAAATTTATTATTTATTATTTTATTTTTGTAGTAAGAAAAAATAGTAAATTCACCAAGTTTGAAATATATATTATCTAGTAATATATTAACATAAAATTGTTATGTTTTACTAAATAATCAAATTAATTGAATGAAAGTTATAAAACAATTTTTAAAATTTTTAAACCAAACGCAATTTCTAGTTTTCTGTTTTGAGAAACTGTTTTTCGAAATGACAATCCAAACCCATTTTCTATAATTACAAAAAACAAAAAATTAATTCAAAACTAAAAACAGAAAATGAAAACGCAAACCACGCACCTTGATTTTTTGGGATGAAAAATTGCTACCTAATGGGGGTTAAATTTTAGCATTTTTTAATAATGGTTCACAAAATATAATCAGTAGAAAGGGAATATTAAAATTCTCATGCCTACTAATCACAGAATCCCCATAAAAAAACCCGTGTTTAAGACAGCGTACGATATCGTTAGGGCAAGATTTAAGGTGACTTCTCTTCAACCAAGAATCCAGTGATCTATGATTCTTTGGTGATTAGTATATACTTAAACTGCTAATTCAATAAGTAGGAAGAAAATTGCTCAATCACCATGTGTAATTGACACTTGTAGAGTTCTTGTAAGGATATTTTTTCCCAACGGGACAATGAGAAACAGCTATTGTAAATCACTTTTAACTCATTCACCCTTTTATACAAAATTTTCTTGTGAAATCAGATGTTGAGTTGTTTGGCTCGGAGCTTGGAAACCTATATTACCCTAGCAATGATGTAGATCCATATCTGAAGGATAATGGTGTATGTTCCCTTGTATTATATACTCTGTGAATATATTAATTATTTTTTGTTTCCCTTTTTTTGTTATTTTTAATCGTCCTTCCTTTTACCTATTTATGTATGGAATTTATTTCTCTCAGCATGATGATTCTGACGAGGAGGAGGATAAAACCATAAAACAGGATGCTGTCTTCGTTTGTGCACGCAATGAGGATGTTGTCGGTTGTCTTGAGACAAGTAATAGTTAGTGATTAAACTCATTGAAGCTCCTAGACTCTTGCTGTTTTTAAAATTTCCTGATCATTCATAACTGAACGCGATCTTCAATAATAGGTTTGGATACTAGAAAACGCGACAGATGGTGATTCTAACATGTTTTGTCACCATGATATCAACATCCCAGCATTTCCACTATGCACTGCATGGCTTGATTGCCCGCTTAAAGGTGGAGACAAAGGTATGACTAGATATATATTTGTTGGTATCTCAGAATAGGTGTTTGAAGAACGCAGCTTATATATTCTTTTTCTTGTACGTTTTGTGTGACGTAGCTTTTATGAGTTCATGTGTTTATATGTTTTACACCACTGATGGTTCTTTACTTCTCTTGATAATAATTTTATTGTTCTTCTCTGTGATGTTATGATAAGCACGTTGTTTTTCTAGACTATTTATTTATTTTTAAATCCTTCAGATAATGATTTTAAAGTATATTGCAGTAGCTGTAGTTCTTAATACCTGGCGCTTTTGTATCATAATCTGTTGCGGTTGGCTCTATTAGTTACAGATGCTATCAATGAGTTTAAGCAAAACAATATAGAGACATATTACATGGACTAGGTGATTTGGAGCTTAGCATCTGTGTTGACACGTAAAACATGATATTGATATGGGTGTAGAGTCCATGTCAGATAATGCAATTAATCAGTTAACTCAGTTGAATTCTTCTTTGAGTATACTTAATGGAGATGAATGGCCTTCAAGGGATATTATCTGGATCTGTCTTCTGGCCTTCCATTCTTGCAAGACAATGGACTTTCTCCATTTCAGGCCTCACAAATGCTGTGGTGGAACAGATCTAGGGTCTCTTTCATGCTGTATGTGTTATGTGGGGTTGGCTTGGAAGTGACGGAAACAGGCTCAACTTAAAATGGTCCAATTAATTATTTAATGCACATGGCCAAAAACACAAATGATTGAATCATTATGAATAGAAAGATTCCAGCCCATCCGCTCATTTTTTTGTTTTACTCCCCATACTCTCCCTCAGACAAGCTTGGGTTGATAGCAGAACAAGTACAAGTATTAGTAGCATAACAAAAATACCTTGTAAGTGTTTACCTTATGTGTAACATAGAAGACCTATTGATATGGTTTTCAGTCCATTTGGAGTATCTTCATGAATGAATGTAGAACAGATATTTAAATGTTTGCTCAGGTTAGCAGGAGTTTACTAGACGGTCATTATCGAATTCATAAGATTTGGACTTGTGTCCGTGCATGACTTGGTGTCAAGGACCGCAGCTTTACTTAGCCCCTTGACACTATCACAGCCGCAGTTTGCCTAACTTCGGCCCCACATTGTAAATATTACTTCAAGTTTGAATTGTAATTTTCTTTTCATTGTAATAGTTATTTCATTTGTAAAATAGCTCTGATATTGGTAAACGTTCAGTATGATTCCTTGTCTTTTAAACGTCTACTCCCGTCACTTGGGTTTTTGTTCAGAATGCTATTATAGGGGGTATTAATCATTCAAAAATCTTTCAAACTCACTGGTGTCCGCCCCCTGCACCAGTAATTGTAATTTTCTGCTTTCATCAATTGTAATGTTCAGTTTTCACAATCAATGTTCAATTTACTTTCAATGTATTCAAATTCTCTATTGTAAGCTTTCTACAAAATTGTAATCAAAATTTCTTTCGTCCCGACGTGATCGAGAAAAGGCGGAAGGTAGTCTAGCGGAACAGACTACTGTCGCACGGTGTCCTTTTCTGTGTCAAGAAGAAAGGCACCCCGTGAAAGTTGGTATCAGAGCTGCGGCTCACGACCCTCGATAAGAAAGCTATGGATCCAATTACATCACACACCACTGAAGTGGTAGAGCCTCAAAAGAAGGGTACTACAAAACAGCGCGTGGATGCGCTTGATGAGACAACTACTAGGTTGTGCTATGCTATGGAAGGTCTCGAAGAAAAAGTTGAGATGGCCGAATCTGAGATTCGTGGATTACACATCCAATTGGATGAAAGCCAAAGAGCTTGCGCAGCAATGACGGAAGCTGCTGCAATCATTCCTGATTTGCAGGATGAAATGGAAGCGTTGAAAGCTCAATTGCGAGTACTCCAACATGCGGTGGGCAATGGGCAAGCTCCCGCACCCGAGTATGCTCCTAGATTCAGAATTTCTGAACTGGGTACCTACGGAGGGGTACGTGATACAAAAGAAGTTGAAAACTTCTTGTTTGATATGGAACAATACTTTCTAGCAGCTTCGATCGAAGATGAAGCTAGAAAGGTAACCACAGCTACCATGTATCTGGGTGAAGATGCAAAACTATGGTGGCGAACCAAATATGCGGACATTCAGGCCCACAGGATTCGAATTGATTCTTGGGACCTCCTCAAGGAAGCGATCAGATCGCAGTTTTTCCCGGAAAATGTCGAGTATCAGGCTCGACGCTACCAAACAGAATCTAGAAAAGATCGACCTTCGGGGAGTAATGAAGCAATTGGAGGTGGTAACAGATCTTACAGACCCAGCTCGAACCCAAATGGGGGAGAGCGTTCCTCTCAGAATAGAGAAGGAGCCTATCAAAGCACCCGTGGCTTTCAGGGAAACTATCATAACAGCCGTCAGGGAAATTTTAACGGCAGTAATAGTAACAACTGGAACAAAGGAAAAGCAACGGAGGGCCGAACTGATGCCACTCCCAAATTGAAGTGCTTTTTATGTGAAGGACCTCATCGGGTGTCGGAGTGTCCTCAGAAGCGGATGGTGAATGCATATTGTCAGTTAGCAAGTGGTGGGCCTAGTTCAAAACAAGAGGTCCCACAGGCTAATTGTCATAATGAGACTGACTCTGAAGAGGATGAGGAAGTAGTTGGGGCATTCTCACATCGGTGCAACACACTATCGCATTGGGTTGCTGAAAATGATGATGTCCCATTGAAAGAGGCAAAGATAGAAGAGCGAAGGCTTGTATTTGTAGGGCCAAAGGCTTAACGTTCATTGATGTAAAAATCAATGGGAAGCCAATCAGGGCTATGGTGGATACTGGTGCTACCCACAATTACCTTGCATGTACCGAAGTAAAGCGGCTCAGACTGGTTCTAGAAAATGGTAGTGGAAAAGTCAAAGCAATCAACTCCGCTGCTCAACCAATAGCTGGAGTGGCAAAATCGGTGTTGATCAAAACAGGTCCTTTCGAGGGAAGGACAAATTTATCTGCAGTTCAGATGGATGATTTCAAGCTTATTCTAGGATTGGAATTTTTTCAGGATACTAAGACAGCAGTGTTGTCATATTCCGATTCCTTAATGATGATGGGTAATAAGCCGTATGTCATCCCCACACAGGTTGGAAGGATGGGCGAGAAGAGTATCTCAGCCATGCAATTTAGTAAAAGTTTCAAGAGAAATGAACCCTCTTTTTTGTGCACTCTTCGATTAGAGGAGGTCGAAGAGGCGAATGGTCCTATTCCAAAACCTGTTAAAAGGTTTATTCGGGAATTTGAGGACATCATGCCGGAAGAATTATCAAAGAAATTACCACCAAGAAGGACGATTGATCATGAGATCGAACTTATTCCAGACGCTAAAGCTCCCGCCAGGGCACCATACCGTATGTCTCAGCCTGAGCTTGAAGAGCTTAGGAAGCAGTTGGGGGAAATGTTGGAGAGTGGAATCATTGTGCCTGCGAAGTCGCCATACGGAGCTCCTGTATTGTTTCAGAAAAAGACTGATGGTTCTCTTAGAATGTGCTATGACTATCGAGCCTTGAACAAGATTACTGTAAAGAATAGTTATCCTATCCCACTGGCTGCAGATTGCTTCGATCGACTGAGTCGGGCGAAGTATTAGACAAAAATTGATCTTAGGTCCGGATACTGGCAAGTTCGAATTAAGGAGGGAGACGAAGCAAAGACTACGGTGGTAACTAGATATGAAGCCTTTGAATTTAAGGTGATGCCTTTTGGTTTGACAAATGCTCCAGCAACATTTTGTACTATGATGAATCAGGTACTTCACGGGTTCTTAGATGATTTTGTCGTGGTGTACTTGGATGACATAGTAATCTACAGCGAGACATTGGAGGAACATGTCCAGCATGTGAGGCAAGTTTTTAATCGGCTACGGGAGAATGAACTTTATGCTAAGCCGTCTAAATGCTCATTTGCTCAGACATCTATCAGTTTCTTGGGTCACATCATTGAACAAGGTAAAATTCGCATGGATTCGAAGAAGGTTACAGCCATCAAAGATTGGCAACCATCAAAAACCGTACATGATGTACGTTCATTTCTTGGGTTATGCAATTACTATCGAAAATTTGTGAAAGGCTACTCAGAAATTGCACTGCCACTTACTGAATTGACAAAGAAGGATAAGGATTGGGATTGGTCATCCCAATGCCAAACTGCTTTTGAAAGGTTGAAGAAGTCCATGTGGACGAACCCAATTTTAGCCTTACCGGATATGGCTAAACAATTTGAAGTTCATACAGATGCTTCAGATTTTGCCCTTGGTGGAGTCCTCATGCAAGAAGGACATCCGGTAGCATGAGAGCCGTAAGTTAAACTAGACAGAACGTCGTTACTCGGCACATGAAAATGAATTGTTAGCAATAGTCCATTGTCTCAGAGGATGGCGTCACTATTTGCTTGGGTCTCCATTTATTGTGAAGACAGATAACACTGCAGTTAGTCACTTTATGTCCCAACCAAAACTATCGAGCAAACAGGCTCGTTGGCAGGAATTATTTTCAGAGTTCAATTTTATGTTAGAGTATCGTCCCGGCTCTAGTAATCATGTTGCTGATGCTCTTAGTCAATGGGCCGATTTAGCTACTATCTGCTCCGTAGCTGCTCTTTTAGGGAGCACAGTCTCCACGAACACTAGAGAGCAAATTCGGGCACTTATGGAGAAGGACCCGACTACCCAATATTTGGTTGACCTTATCAAGCAGGGTAAAACTCGACAGTTCTGGCTAGATGGGAAACTAGTGAAAACAAAGGGAGACCGCCTATATGTTCCTAAGGGCGGAGATCTGAGAAAATCACTAATTAGGGAATGCCATGACACAATTTGGGCGGGGCATCCCGGAGAGGAACGCACTTGTGTACTACTACAACATGCATACTACTGGCCTCAAATACGGGACGACATTACAACATATGTAAAAACTTGTCTTATTTGTCAACAAGATAAGACAAATCATCAGAAAAATGCGGGCTTGCTGGAGCCCCTTTCAGTTCCAACCCGGCCATTCGAAAGTGTATCGATGGACTACATTATTGGGTTGCCAAAAGTTGAGAATTTTGGCACTATCATTGTCGTGGTGGACCGTCTATCAAAATATGCAACTTTCATTGCAGCGCCTAAGTATGTATCTGCGGAAGAGACAGCTCAACTCTTTTTCAAATATATTGTCAAATATTGGGGGCTGCCTAAGGACATCGTCAGTGATCGAGATCCTCGTTTCACTGGCATATTTTGGACTGAGTTGTTCAAACTTCTTGGTTCAACTTTGAGCATGAGTTCTAGTTTTCACCCACAATCTAACGAACAGACAGAGCGCTTCAATTCTATGCTAGAAGAATATATTCGGCACTTTATCTCTACGTCGCAGAAAAACTGGGTAAAACTTTTGGATGCGGACCAAATTTGGTTCAATGCCCAAAAGAGTTCTTCCACCAATAAGAGTCCTTTTGAGATTGTTACTGGCCCGCAACCGCTACTCCCTCATACAGTGGATATCGAACGAAGTACCAAGTCCCCTCAAGCAAAGAGCTTTTCTCAAGAGTGGAAACGAAATATTGAAATTGCTCGGAGTTATCTTGAAAAAGCTCAAAAAGGGTATAAAAAGGCTGCAGATCTAAAGCGCCGTTTTATTGAATTCAATGTTGGAGATCTGGTAATGATTAAGCTTCCCGACAGAAATGTTTACAAACCAACAAGAGGGAAGGACTCAAGATTGTCACCAAAATACATTGGACCATTACCCATTGTGAAGAGGATTGGAAGAGTTGCATACAGAGTTGAACTCCCTTCATGGTGTAAAATCCACAAGGTCCTTCATGTTAGTGTGTTGAAGCCATACTTTGCGGATAAGGAGGACGCATCTAGAAATAAGCCAAAGCGACCTGTATTTGAATTGAAGAAAGCTAGAAAGAAGGTTGCTGAAGCTATTCTTGACCATCGAATCACTCGAGCTTCTAGAAAAGATCATCAGGAGTACTTGGTCAAATGAATGGGATGCAGCAGCGAGAAGAATACTTGGGAAAGAGAAAAAGATCTCGAGGCCTTCAAATAATTAATTGAAGCGTATCATGCATTGATGGCACCGAGAACGTCTCCAAAACAAATGGGGGAGAATGTCAAGGACCGCAGGTTTACTTAGCCCCTTGACACTATCGCAACCGCAGTTTGCCCAACTTCGACCGCACATTGTAAATATTACTTCAAGTTTGAGTTGTAATTTTCTTTTCATTGTAATAGTTATTTCAGTTGTAAAATAGCTCTCATATTGGTAAACGTTTAGTATGATTCCTCGTCTTTTAAACGTCTACTCCCGTCACTTGGGTTTTTGTTCAGAATGCTATTATAGGGGGTATTAGTCATTCAAAAATCTTTCAAGCTCACTGGTGTCCGCCCCCTGCACCAGCAATTGTAATTTTTTGCTTTCATCAATTATAATATTCAGTTTTCATCAATCAATGTTCAATTTACTTTCAATGTATTCAAATTCTCTATTGTAAGCTTTCTACAAAATTGTAATCAAATTTTTTTTCATCCCGACGTGATCGAGAAAAGGCGGAGGGTAGTCTAGCGGAGCAGACTACTGTCGTACGGTGTCCCTTTCTGTGCCAAGAAGAAAGGTACCCCGTGAAACTTGGCCATGCAAACTTGGTGACTAAGGACATTTGTATCTTTTTATCTCCTCTTCAACGGTGGAATTTCGATAAGGAAAACTACTTAAATTGTGATTTTAGTTTATTGCATATAATAAGAGAAATTTTAGCTGCTTTTATTGTTCCTATTAACATATAGTACCATATAGTTTATGAAAAAAATTGCAGTAAAGCATAGTTGTATGTCTCTATCTTTAAGGATTACAAGTAGACTAGTGAGATTTGGCATATCCAAGCACGGGTTTTTAACACTTTGCGTTGCCCATACATTAGAAAATTTAGAAATCATATGGATCAGATGTTTCTGCACACTGTATCTGACACCCATATGCTTTATTCCATGTAACATGGTTCTGGAGTTCATGTCTTTCTTTGAGTTGCTTTGTTTTTGAATTCATAATAGTATGATAGCTTTAGCTTATCCATCGTGCTTATAGAATATAATTCTCAACACTTAATGTCTCTTCCAATTTATTTTGGCAGTAGGCATGTGCTACTTGTTCTTTCGTTATCAACCTTGTCTTTCTATTCAAGATTATCCCCCTTTTTTTCATTTTATTTTGCTTTAAATTGTACCAATTCACTTGTGCAATTCGATTTTTGGGAGCACAATGTAAATGTATCTGCTTGTGTCGAGTGGAGTGCCACAATCCCATTCATCATTTTTGATCTACTATAAGCCAAACCATAGAACTGGCAACGTCTCCAGAATGCAAGGAGGATGTATAGCTGATATAGTATCTCGTGGAACAGGGCTCTATGTATAGTGAGCAGATGGGACTTGGACGGCCTTGCTTTAAAGATTGCATAAAGACTTTATTTTATCTCTTTCAATTTTGACAATCTCTATCCAGTCCTTTCTTTGAGGTTTGAAATTCTTTTTTTAATAAAGGTCGCTCCTGACATGCAAGAAGTGAGATTTTAGACTTCTAGGCCTTGGAAGCTTTTGTCATTTTTATCTGTGTTAAATTTATTCATCTCAATTTCACAATTGACGTGTCAAGTCTTGAATTTCTGATGCTGTCATTATTATTATTATTATTATTATTATTATTATTATTATTATTATTATTATTATTATTTTCAATTAAAGGTTGTAATAATTTTTTCTGTAATTGAGCCATGTTTGTTTTCCATCTGGTTATTGTTTTCTATTCTCCTTCATTAATTATAAATGTGTTGACAGGGAACTTCGTCGCTGTTGGCACAATGGATCCGGCTATTGAAATATGGGACCTTGATATTGTTTGTTCTTTTTGCCTTCATTTTCATGACTAATTTAAGGGAGATGTATGTTCCTAAATAATGTTCTTGTTTTGAACTCTCAGATGGGTGCAGTTCAGCCATCTTTTGTATTGGGTGGCACCATAGAGAAGAAAAGGGGAAAGAAGGTTTGCTTATAAAGTTTCGCCTAATGTATGCCTTCAAAACAAATACCTGCTGCTAGTATCTCGATGTATTGCATTTTTGTTGATCTTTGTGTTTGTCACTAATGAAGTCATCTACTTTATTTGTTCCATGAGAATGTTTGGCTAGAGTGAAAAGTAAGTGAAAGTTACTTTAGAGTCAATTTGCAATTCCAAATTCCAAACATGTTGTAATAAGTTACTTCTCTCCAAATTTTAAGTAAAAATGTTACTTTTTGGATAATACCTTATCTGAATGTCAAAAGTAAGCAACTTATGCTGCATGTATATTCTGAGTTGGTCCAATTGAAGCGATGTAATTGCACCTATAGTTAGTGACATTCTTAAGATATCCCTATCTGAGGTGAGCAGTTACTTATTAGTTACCTTGCTTGCATTTCTTCTTGCTCTCTTTAGCTCTGTAAAGCTTAATTGCAGTAGGCTTTTTCGTTTGGGTTTTCCTTAAGATGTGCAATATCTCTTGTGCTTTAGAGTTGACTCATTCTTGACCAGTTCATACTATTGCAATGCCATTTGTTGAGAACTTCATCTTAAACTTTGATTATTATGTGGTTTTTATATCCTTTTTTGCTCTAAACCTCTGTAAACTTTAGTAATTCCATTCTTATTGGCATGTATGTTGGATTGGTTAGAAAATAATCAAATATGCGACTGGTAGCCACACTGATTCAGTTCTTGAACTTGCTTGGAACAAGGAATACAGGTTTAGGAATTCTTTTGATAATTTCATTTGTTTATATATACATAATGGTCTCCTAGAAATCTAATGTTCTGTTATTGGTAAATTTATAAATACGTGAAGGAATATACTTGCCAGTGGGAGTGCAGACAAATTGGCTAAGATTTGGGATGTGACTACCAGGAAATGCAACCTAACCATGGATCACCATACAAACAAGGCAAGAATTGAAACTTAGCAGTATTATATTTTGTTTTGGTATGTGATATATTTTTCGCTTTTCACCTGGGCATTTCTTTACCAAACTTTTAAATGCAGTCCGTGTTCCTGATGCTCTTCTTGACTTTTTCTTCTTTGTAAACTTGTTTGGAAATGAGGAAAATCCACTGACAATTTCCTTAAAATGTGACATAGCAATTAACTATGTTAATGGCAAACACTGAACATGAGCTTAAGTTAGGCTTTGCGTGGACTTTATTTCTGAAAACTCAATTGGTAGAAATTCATATTTGGGATGTTAGCTTTTTAGAAAATGTGCCATCTTGTTTTTTGCAATTTACCACGTGATACAAGGTGTTTGGTGCTCATCTGGTGCTTAAAATAGTCAATAGCATAAAGGTTTGAATTAGATGGTTTAATGTATCTTCACTTTTGGAAAATGCTTATTAACTTTGAATTGAAGTGACAATATTTGGATTTAGGATTCTTTAGGACGTGAAATGTATGTTGGACTTGCATTGGATAATTCTTTCATACAGAAAAGCAGGAAAGAAAGATTACTGGACATTTTCTATTTTCTAGTCTAACTGAAAATTATAATTACGTCTAAGATTGGAGAGCACCCAAATTGTTATCTTAGCTTAATTTAGGAGTTTTGTGCATGCGATATTTGATATTTATCCTGATGTAATTAAATTGTTTTTATCTCATGGCAAAACTTCATTGCATCTGCAATATGTTGTGATCCTGCTTCATGTCTTCAGGTCCAAGCTGTAGCATGGAATCGTTTTGCACCTCAAGTCCTTCTCACCGGATCTTTTGATTGTTCGGTAGTTATGGTACAGAGACAACTTGCGCAAAGTCATTCATATGACCTGAGACACTTCTTGATTTCTGTTCAGTTTTGAGAACTTATTCCATGTATGGACACTGTAGAAAGATAGCAGGATACCCTCTCACAGTGGATTTAAATGGTCAGTCACTGCTGAAGTTGAAAGCTTGGCATGGGATCCGCACACTGAACATTCTTTTGTGGTCTGTACATCACATTATATTTACAGTTATGTCTTGGTTTACATTTTTAATGGGCAAAGCCTGTAAGTCATCTTGGAAGGGTGAGTTTCTGATAATGTATTTGATAAAGGAACCTGAATAAAGTGTTGTCTTCTGATTGTTTTTTCCCAGGTAAGTCTTGAGAATGGTATGGTTATGGGTTTTGATATTCGCACTGCTAGCTCTGATCCCAAGCCAAGTTTCACTCTCCATGCCCATGACAAAAAAGTTTGCACAATTTCATACAATAGCTTGGTCCCAAATGTATAGATTTTCACTCTTTGTTTTTTCCTTTTACTTTTTAAGCTTTGATTTCCAATTGTTATGCACCCACTTTGCCCTTGTAGTTACTTGCAACTGGTTCCATTGATAAGACAGTAAGTTCCACTATTCACTTTTAGTTTAATAAACAATTTACTCCTAGTGACTATGTTCAGTTTATATCTTTATCTTGAATGGTGTTGTTTATTCTGCAACCTTTTTCCATCAACTGCAGGTGAAACTCTGGGATTTAACGAACAACAAGCCTTCGTGCATTGCATCGCAGAATCCAAAAGCTGTATGTTACCTTTGCCTATTTATTTTTTGAGAATTTGATGCATAATTTGTCGTTTTAATGTCTTTTTCATGGATGGGTGTCAGGGAGCTGTATTTTCAGTTTCCTTCTCAGAAGATGCTCCGTTCTTACTGGCCATTGGAGGCTCCAAGAAAAAGCTGAAGATAAGAATTATCTTCCTATAGATGCCTTTATATATATTATTGCCAACGCCTTTTTTCCCTGGTTGTTGAATCACCGTCTTTGTTAAAATATTTGCAGATGTGGGATCTATTATCAGACACCGGGGTCGCTGGAAGATATGGAAAGTATATCAATGAGCTAAGGCGCCGCCCACAATCCTGAAGGATACGACTCAGTTTCAAGTCGGGATGAGCAAGAAGTTTTGGCAGGCCGGTTAGGCATACGACCTGGAAAATCCAATTACAATTAGTCAATGCAAAATAAAATAAAATAATAATAATAATAATAATAAATCAAAATTTTTAGTTTAGTGAAGATAATCTTCAATATAATAGCACCCTGCGGGGAAGAAGATTGAGTCGTGTCAATTTTCCAATTTTGAGCATGAACCTGCCCACTAAAGTAAATGATTGAATACACCGTGTTTTGGTTTTTGACCTTTATGATTGCAGGATTTTGTTTCATGAAAAATACTGGTAGTTCTGATTAATTAAAATTCTGTTTATACAGTATGGACTTTTGTATTACTTTCTACTTTGTCTTGTTTGAAAAGATACAGGTTCTTTATGTAATGCAAATTTGTCCAATTTTTCGTCATTTCAATGTGTCAGTGCCACCTTTAGCCCAGTTCGTAAACAGCAATTCCTCTTGTACAGAGGAAATGCTGCCAGAATTTTGCCACAGCAGGATCTGGTGCACGTTTGTTTTGTTTTTTTTTTTTTTTTTTTTTTTTTTTTTTTTTTTTTTTATATGTCCTTAACCGATAGATTTTTGCCAGGTGTCGTCTGTATGATTTCTGGCTGACGTTTTCTGTACATATAGCAGCTTTGGTTTGTAAAATCTTGAGTATAGGGCGCAGCCGCGCAGGACCCAATAATCCTACATCAACAAATCCTAACAGGGCCTGAGGTGTAGGCTCATTTGCCCTTTGAAAATTTGATTACCCATTACAGCAGCATGCAACTGCCGGAAAGAATGTTGAAGAATAGACATTTCCAACCATACATTAAGTTCTTAAAGCTAATGAACTCGAAAATTGAGAGTTGATACTACAAATCTCTCCTATAATCTCTTCAAGGGCAAGATTATCTTTAAGTATAGATGTGTGAGAAACTCCAGGAAGCTTGATCACTTTAACGGGTTGATTTTTCTCGTTGGCCCATGCATTTTCTGCTGCTAGCAAGCTTATCGTATTCACCGTACCATCCCCATCTCCGTCCACCACCTCTGGGCTCTTGTCAAACCCACAATCCCCATAAATCAATGTTTCTGGTGTATTGATATTGCCCCCAATTATGCACGTAATAGGCACTTCCGGTGCAACTAAGTTTTCGACCAAAGGTAAAATACGCGATTTATAAGGCTGGACTCCTTCTGGAAAGCCAATATCCTCGAGGAACCGCGCGATATCTTTTGCAGAATAAGATGCATTTGGCGTGATCACTAATGGTTTTGTTGTGTTGAACACTTTAGGAGAGGGCATGAGCCATAAGTTACTCGAACAACTTCTTTGCTCTTCCCTTACAAACAATGGATTGACTAACGGAACTCCGAGTGTATTCCCGGAAGCAAATGTGAGCAGTTCGTCAACCGTACCACCCCAGGGGGTCGACAATGCTATGAAATGTTTGATGTATTTTTGGCGCCAAGAAACCGGGTTTCGAATGAGTAGTTGGTGGACAAAAAGGCCTCCTAAGCTATGGGAAAGAAGGATTATGGGCTTTCCTTCATTGGAATTGCTGGCTGTTTCTATTAGATTTTTGAGTTGTGTCAAAAATTTTGAGGCAACATGGGAAGGGTGACCTGCTGCAGCTAATCCATATCGAAAATCATAGGGCGCCCCAAATAGGTTTTTGCCATCCACATAACCTATTTCTTCCAAAGATTCTATTAGGGGTTCCATGTACGATGTAATGTGCCTGCAAAATTGGAACATGTATACAAAGTATTAATATCCATGTTTGTTTAAGATTAAAGAATGAGATGAGATTCACTGTCCCCTTAACTATCCTCCTAATATAATTTTTGACACATCATCACATCATATCTTCATTTGAGCAAATGGACAGAGACATTAAAAATAAAATGATGAGTTGATTTGTCAAAAATATATTGGAAAAACAACCAAAGGGATGGCAAGTACGATGACACACCTCAACTCTAAAAATTCAACCTTAAAGTTGAAAACAAGTTACGTGTTCCAAAAGTAACATTTAGCTCATTGTAAAGAATGTAGATTTTAACCTTAATTTGAGCAAATATGTTCGGAGCCAATAATTAAACTATTACAAGATAACACTTAGCACTTACATACTCCAACATATATTCGTCACATGTTGATTCACTTCCGAAGTATTGCTAAACTAGCACGAGTCACTAGTATCCAACTTATGTTACAAAACAACTAGTACGAATGCAATTTCTATTGCAAAATATCCCTTCAAATTTAAAAATTAGCGATTCGAATGCAACATACTTGAGGTGAGGGTCAAGATATCGAAGGGCCCGAGTCGAGCCGAAGTGAGGCACTCTTGTCTCAACACCAGGTGCATTATCATAATCATCCTTAACAAGATCATAGTAAATCATCATCCTTTCATTAAAGCATTTGGTGAAGGGTCCGAATAGCACACTCGGGTCGAACCACAGCCTAAACCATCCTTCACTGTCCTTTTTAATGGGGTACCATCTATTGCACAACAAGCTTGAAGGTTTGTACTTTGGAGTCAACCTGGCTTCCAATTGGTTGCCTCCACTTCCAGGTATCAAGATCACAGGGTGCAGATTGGTTATGGATTCACAGGAAAATAACATCACAGCCACTGAAAACATGGCCATGTGAATATGCAGAAGTATCTCTGCCTTCATGGTGTAGAGAGAGGACAATGGGTTTGAGAAAATGGGTCGAGTGGCATTTGTTTGGATTGGATGGGATATGGAGTTGCAGTCAGCAGTTTGTGGTGGGAAATTGTTCACGTTTTCATACTTCTGCCATAAATTGTTTTTGGAGTTAAGGCCATGTTTGGCTGTTCTTAATTTGATATGTTCATTTGTGCAATTGTTTGAAGAGGAAATTGTTGGGTTTTAATTTGTCATATAGGCCTACATTTGTAATTAATCGTTGTATTAACGACTATCTTAAGATTAAACCCATTTGAAGTAATCAAATAAAGAATTAATATTATAGCGCTCTGGACATCTACTATAGACTGGTCTAGTTATGTGTAGAGACCAGATTTATTTGGGTTGTATTTTATGATAGGTCGAAATACATATGAAAATGTCTAATAGGTTTTATGGTCCCCAATTTATACATGATTTCTCATTCTATTTGCCATCACATCATCAGAAGAATATAAAGAGAAATCATATTGAAAACGAAGATAAAAAATCCACAATCAAGAACAAGTAATCAAGATCAATAACCCGTAATTAAGAACGAGCAACCAATCTTTGTTCTTTATTCCAATAGATCAAAATATGTTATGTATTTTTAATTCTCTTGGGGATTTGATATAGAGGATTTTGGCATTAAAGAAAGGGTTTTAAATATATTAAAAATCTTGAGTTTCAATTTCTAACAAGTGGTTTCAGAGTCAATCCATGCAGGGACGGACCTAGACCTTTAGTATTGTGGGGTCAAAATTTAAAAAAATATTTTTTTAATAATCAACATAATATCAATGAAAATAAGTTTATATGTATTTTGACACTTTGAAAACGTCGTATAATTATATCATTATTAATATTGTTAAATAAGTTTTGCTACTTGTATAGTTTTGTTTATCATTTCATGGGCAAATGCTGAGCTAACATTGAGTAAATTAAATTGGATATAGAAATTAAATGAATTGAAATAAAATTCAAGTTTAGTTCAGGAAGTAAATGAAATTCAAATTTAAAGCAAATATAATTCGAAAGTAATTCAAATTGCATTTAATCCGTAACAATCCAAAAAAATTTATGTCATATTTCATGTAAGACTTCCAAATGAAACAATATAAATTATATTGAAAAATTTGTCATGCAAAAATAATAATTAATTGAATTCTTTAAAACAAAAAATGAGTTAGACGTCTTTTTTGAGGCGTACGTTTGATACATATTTAACTATTTTCGATATCCGTTTGGACCATTTGATATGAAAACGATGTAGTTTTCGAAACAAACTTTTACATGGCGCAGATGATTTGTGGATTCAGATAGCACATAATCGCAAACGAATTTTTAAAGTTAGGATATTATCGAAATTATCAAAATACTAGTTTCAAACACCTTACTTTAACATGTCATAACTTTTGCTATAGTTGACCACTTCGCATGTCATTAATGAGTGAAAAACTAGGCCATGAGTATTTTGAAATGGTATTAAAAATGCAATATTTTGATTTCATTTGACATCCTGACAAGTGCATTAAAATAGATTGTAAAAAACAAAAACAAAAAAAAAAAAAAAAAAAAAAAAAAAAAAAGGGAAAAATTTTGGGGGGTCATTTGACCCCACATGACCCATGTGGGTCCGCTCTTGAATCCATGTTAAATCATTGAAAATCAAGAAAGAATCTTGGGATGAAATTCGTACTTTGAATTCTTCAATTTTTGGGGATGCAAATTTTAGCTCTAAATTTTAAATATTTTGAAAATTTCTTTTTTGGAGTTAAAGAACTATAGTGGCGAGCTGGTGCTCGCTAGCCGCCTCCTTACTGCTTGAGCGACAGTACTCAATGCTTGCGGCTAGTGCTTGAGCGCTGAGAGCATGCTCTTGGTAGCTCACTAGGCGTCGAGATGGTGCTTGAACGACGGGTTTGTTGCTTGATAGCCGCTCGATTGGCACTCTAGCGATGTATTCATCTAGATGGAAATGCTAATTTGAGTGGCGTGGGGTGGGGGTACCGGGGGCGTGGGGGAATTTACAATATCTTCCATCATTGCATAGTAATATGCAAAAACGTGTCATTTTACATTTAGGGGGGACTTGAAATCTTTGATAATTTGTAATTGTCAGGCCACGCGCTTAAAAGTTAAAACCAGTATTGACCCACTAAAAACTTGCAGGACGGCACCCGTAGATTTGTATTAAAACAGATAGCCAGTCTACGACACACCTCCAGATTTGATAAAATTGATATGAATCTTTTCGAAAATGATACGAAAATAATTATTTATACGTAATGTCTTATGTTATTTGTGTTGCATTTTAAAAGATCAATCTTATTTAAAAAATAAAAATATTTTTATTTTTTATTTTTAATCAATGTGCAATCTATCCTTAACATATCACTGTGAGATGTGGCTTATTTGAGAATATCAATTTGAAATCTGATCCCTCATTTAATATTTAAGGGGTTGTTTGAGTCCAATTTTTCTCAAAAAAATACATTTTAAAATAGTGTTATGATGAAGAATGTGTGTTTAAAAAGTTTTGAATTTGTGTGTAATATTATTTTATTGCAAAATTTTGTGGCTTAAATTGTGTCAAAACACTGTTGAAAAATGTATTTTGATGAAAAAA